ACCTCATTAATTCTTCATGAGGTGTAATTTGCCATGATCATTTTTCTTGGCATTTAGGTGCTGTGAACAGTTCATTATTCATAGCTAACTTTTTTGACTTCTGAGTCTTCAAAATGGATATGTCTGCATGAATTTTCTGGGGTTTAGAATTTTTTTCAGATTTTGATTTTAGGAAAAGATTGTTTGTTGTATGTTTAAAAACACTTCTCTTTAGCGCCTATAAATAACTTATTCTTAATTGTGGTTTTTTTATACATAGAAAATCAGTTTCTGTTTATTGTGGAACATGGTCAGTGGAGTATACATAATTCAGATATCAAGAATGGGTGCTGATTATTTGCTTAATGCAAGCTACTTTCAGTGTACATATGTGACAGCCTCAGTTCAACATGCAGACCTTCTCTTAGACTGCTGATAGCAAATTTTGTAATATAAAAAAATTATATTTACATTTATTGAGCCATTGGCTATTGCTTATGCATGTAATAGGGAGATAAGGCTGTCTTAGGCTGTGGGTAGTTTTCCAAATGATTCATTAACTGTGCTTTGTAATGGTAGATGGATGTCACACATTTACTGTAATAAATGAAGATTAGTGTCAGTTACTCCAGCTTGTAATAGTTTATAATTGTAATAGTTGTGTTTATACATACAGGTATTTTTTGCATTATTGTTGGAGCTAATATTTTAGCAGGAATAAGTTGAAATTAATTGCATTAATTGAAAAAACAATGAAGATGTGACGGAAGTATTTCTGAAACATTAGTAATGTAAGAATTTCTCTAATGGGTATTTGTGGCAGATACTCTGTGGGAGTGGTTTATACCAAGCCTTTTGGTAAAGCATTGTTTTGCAAAACACTGGCAAAGCTTATGTTGTCTTCCCCAAAGCATTTATTTGTGAAATCTGTCAAACTAAAATACCTTGTACTTTGCTGATCCATTACCATAGTGAGAAAAGTAGTACATCAGGAAATCGTAATTTTTAAAAGCAGCAGTCTGATGAAATGCATGCACAATTTGAAACATGTAACTTAGAAAATCAGTGAAATTCTATCAGAGATAGTATTTGTCAGTGTTAGAATATTCAGTTTATTGGTGGCTAAATGATCAAAGGTCTATTAGCAATAAATGCAGTTTATTCTTCTTCAAAGATACTATTGCTATATATATAGAGTATCGTATTGCAGTATTGGGAGTTTGGCAAGTTATTGCCCCCCCAAAAATAAAATGCCTCTTTATACCAGTCGCATTGTGAATGTCATCACACATGACATTTGCACTGTAATATTTCAGGACCTGTAGTAACTGCCTAAATTGGGTCAGAAAAGGTCTACCAAAAGATGTTGCTCAGAGCACAGATATTGCTAATTTTACTTGCTTATGGAGGTTTAAGAATACCTTCAGGGATAACTGTATGTTTTGATTTTGAAAAATGAACATTGAGGTTAAGTCACTCTCGAATTTTCAATATTTGTTTTGCCTGTATCCAGATAAGCACTTGATGAGTTAGGCAGACTTAGAGCCTTCTTTGGTATTTTGGTAGAATTTAATTGCAGCCCAATACTTTCCTGTATTTAAAAAAGTTATTACCCATAATTAAAACATAGTAAGTTAACTGTGTGCCCTGGAAACCGGAGGATTGATTTTAAAAATGTTCACATTGTGATACAGGTATTGAATTAAAAATTTAAATCTTAGTGTTGTGGATAGAGAAAAAAAGCATACAGCGACTGTCATGTTGAAATCTATTTGAATAAATAATCTTCCTCTTACGTAATGTGCTGACTGATGTGGAATCAACAGCTACTTAATATTAAAAACAGTGCTTGACGATAAACATCCCAGAGCATGCACACTGAACTCTGCCCGGGGTTTGAGGTTCAGGCATGCTGGGGACAGGAGCCAGGGCTTACCTTGTTGTTAGCCCTACCACTGTAAGTCTTTCCTCATGGCAGGAGTCAGTATGCACACCTAAAGCAAGAGTTAGTCCTTTGTGCCTGTGAGAACTTCGAAGGCAAGCTCTGCTACAGAACTGCTTTTGCACAGAAATCACTCTGTAAATGGAGACTTAAAATCATGCAGTTAAAAAAAAATCTGAAATCCTTTATCAGAAATGCCTTTAATAATTCTTCAACATTTCTCTTTATCCATTATCTCTTTTTTAATATGTATATAGCAAATGGATTTTCAGTAACCTATGACTTGGCAATAATTTGAAGGGCAGATAAGTGCCTTGGTTTTCCTTTCTACTATTAAAAAATCAAGACAACCTAATTGGAGTTGAGAGTAACTAGGAAGAAAACCTGGCACCTGGTGCAAAATTAGTTTATGCCAAGATACTTTGAAGTATATGAGGAAATGTACTTGTTCGGGAACAGATTTTTACCGAGCAGCTTACTCTTAATGTTCCGACTGTTTTAAATGTCTTGGATTGAATTCTGTTCCTTTGCTTGGTGGGGAAGGTATGGATGCTGCAAATTTAAGTAAAAAGCATTTGCAAAATGCCTAAGTAGGACACCAACCGGTTTGGAATTTTGTTTTCTTTCACAGATTTTAAAAGACCCAGGGTTTATTGTCTACTGCGGGGAACTATAGATAGCTTTTGAGTCTGTTGCTAAGAATAGATGATGTACCTTCCTCGGTGTGTTGTGCAGAAGTCCTGCTTCTGCTGAAACTGAAACCAGTGGTCTGGTATTCCTGCCAGCTCCAGAGGGGCAGGATCAGTCCCTAAAACTGCAGCTTATCTTGCGGGGTTTTATGCTGGGAAGAATATGGTCCAGCGATGTAAAGGCACACGGGAAGCTGCCGTTAACCGTGTCAGCTGCTTCACTCATCCTCTGACTGCGCGGTAGCGTTGGAACTGGGATTTTTTTCCCCCAGTTTCAACCGAGTGGATGCGGATGCAGCCCGTAGGAGCAGGCTGTGCTGAGCTGGAGCGCGGCCGCCTTGGGGTGCGAACCCCGGCCCCGCAGCAGCTGCTGGTGGAGCTCAGAGCCCGCGTCTGCCGTGGGGTCGCGGAGGTGCGGAGATCAAAGGATGATCTTCCAGCTGGAATCCCGAGCTAAATAGATTTAGCGGCATCTGAAGCGTTTAAGTAGTACGTGTGAGTAAATACATGGATGGAACGAAGGAAGTATGGCCGATGCCGGGTAGAAGGGGGAATCTCGAAGGAAGAGTGTGTGGGGCTGGCACAGCTTGGCCAAGGATGCCAGCAGTACTTGGTGCCACGTGGCTGGTAAAATTGGCAGGGGGATTCTGGTTTGGATATGCCCATGTCTTTCAAGAAGTGACTATTTTTGTGCAGTTTATTTTCAAAATGATTCTGCTGTGTGGTTTTAAGGCATTTCTGTTAAGCACAATGTGGCAAGGCTTCTTTTTATTTAAAAGCTGTTAAACCAAGTAGCTATTCCTGGGCTTGATAATAAAAATAATGGTAATTCAAAACTTATTTCCATTGATAAAAAAGAGGGTTATATCCTAAATGAGGCATTAAACTAACGCTGAAGCATTTCAATTAAAAAAAAGACATGACCAGAATATAACCTATTTAGACTCTGAGCCACCCTCTTGCAGTTAATTTTAGAATAGACACCCTTTTTTTGGTGTGTGTGTGTCCCTATCCTCCTGAATTACAGGCCTAATTTGTCACAATATGTACCTCCCTGGATTTAAAAAAGAAAGCAAATTAAGCCTTTAGTAATTATAATAATTACAGGATCGGAAGAATACCAGGTTCAGAGTGTGTGGTGCCTTAGCCCTCTGTTCTCCCATGTTTGTCACTGTCCCTTGGGCAGTGGAATCTCCTGCCTGGGGCAGCAGTTTGCATCAGTGACCCCTCTGGTGGAGGGAGGCTGAGCCCATCCAAGGGATGATCTTCGATTCCAGTGAAGCTGCACATCACAAATTTCACAGCAGACAGCAAAAGCCACCATTTACATGGCTTTAATTTATCCAGATTTGAGACTAAGATGATGCCCTTCCTTTGGCATTACTGGTGACAGCGAAGATGGGGCTAGAAGCCACGGTAGAGGCAAATTATACAGAAAAAGCTTGAAGTACCCAGGTTTTTCTGCTTCCTTTGTGTGTGCAGTTTTGGGATAAAAACTTGTGTTCTGCAGATAAACATGCAGGCAGCTTTGCTCACGTGATGGGTGGCACTGGTGACAATGGGGCTACTGTCCTGCAACACACTTTGCTAAGCTGGATTGTTATTTGTTGTTTTTTGGAAAGGTCTGTTTGAGTCTCCTCTGTGAAAACTGGAGTTTTGTGTTTCAAGATAAATGTGCTTGTTATACTTCCAGCCTTCACCTGTGCCTGATAAGCCTTTCTTTGATTAAACCTTTTTGATTCTAGTAAATATCTGAAGACCTTTGTATCGTGAAGATTGCAAATCCAGGGCTTTATTATTTAAAGAGGTGTCAGTTCATTAGTGAAAAATATAGGTGGAGAATATAGGTCATCACTGGAACCAGTAAATGGTATGTCTTGGGACACCCGAGTTTATTAATTGAAGGCAAGCTGAGTGACGACACAGTGCAGATTGACTGTGCCTGGTTAATGTTGTTGTCATTGCACTCTGTGATACAGTTATTAAATAGGTAAAATATTTTACCTTTTCATATAGAGCCATACACTTACTTCATCTGATTTAATGGAACTATAATTTTAATTATGATTATTACCTTAAATTATAATTAAATTTATGTGGTTTAAATTTACATTTGTGAAAATGGCTGCGTGATGAAAGCAGAAATCAGCTTCGCATTAACAAAAAAAGAAGGTTTTTTAACTGCATCTTAGTATATGCTCACAGCCAAAGACTAGCATGACCTACTTTGCAACAATAACAGAGGAATCAAGCCGGGTTTTTTTGTTGAAGTATCTAAATTGGCCATGAATGCTACCTACTCATTCGTTTGTGAGTATCTTTAAAAATAGCTATTGTATCTATGAAACTTAAGGGTGGTTTTTTTCCCCCTTTCTCTTATTTTGCTATAGATAATTAGCACCATGGAGCCTCAGGTGTCGAATGGCCCTACTTCCAATACAACCAATGGACCCTCCAGCAACAGTAGAAACTGCCCTTCCCCCATGCAGACAGGGGCTGCTACAGATGACAGCAAAACCAACCTCATAGTCAACTATTTACCCCAGAACATGACCCAGGAGGAGTTCAGGAGTCTCTTCGGGAGCATTGGTGAAATCGAATCCTGCAAGCTCGTGAGAGACAAAATCACAGGTAAGCGCTTCGTGTCGCGGACTTTGCCTGCGTTAGGGTCAGCTTATATCTGGGGTCAGCAGAACCTTGGTGCTTGTACTGCAAGTGCTAACACAGGGAATGCAGCAGATGCAGTGCTAAACTTCAGGGGCAAGCCTTTTGTTTTCAATGCTGCACACTGGATCTAGAACTGCTGAGAAGCCCCTTGTCTGTCTCTCATCCTCTGCACATCTGGGGGAGAAGTCTGAACATTGCCAGTCTGGATGTGTGTTACACACTGTGCAGCTTCTCGCAGGAGAGCTTAGCCAGTGGCCTTTGCTTTCCTGTTCATTCTCATTTTATTGAACATGGACTTGTCTGAATGGCTTGGGCCAGCTGTTAGTTCCTAATTCTGACTGCCATTTGAGCTTTACCAGACCCTCATTAGATTTCTGCCTGTTTAAGAACACTGTAAGGTGAGGTGGGGCTGCATGTCCATCACAGCTTATTGACCATGGTGCTCTGAATCAGAGAAGGAATAAAAGCCTCCCATGGCAGATGCTGCCTCAACAAGAAGTGTCTGCACTGTCACTAGAGGAGGTGTGGATGGGTGCAGATGCACCTGGCCTAATCCACATCCTTTCTGCCGCAGACCAGGAATTCACTGGTGCACAAGATGGGATGAACGATCAGCTTTTATAGCTTGCTTTATAGGTTAGTTTTATAGGTTGTGTGTCTACTCACACCGTAGGTGGGAGCAGCTGAAATTTCACTGCTGTTCAGTGCATCACCAGGGCTGTTATGTTTAGCACAGAGAGCAGCAGCCTTGGGAGGGAAAGGGTTCCAGAAAAGGCGTCAGCTCCCCTCAGAGGCTCTCCTGGCAACTTGGGTGTGTGCTCTGTGGGAAGAGGCACCATGGGAAGATGAGGAATTAAAATGCAAACCTTCGTACCTGTTTCTGTAACATCCTGGCAGCCATTGTATTGGCAGCATTAGGATGATCTGCTTAGTGCTTTTCAACATGCAATGCTTCTTTTTTATTTACTTCCTGACACACAGCAATGCTCTGGTTGAACACAAGGCACATAACAAATGGCAGTAGCTGCAGGGCAGCTTGAGTCCTCACAAGTGTAGTCTAGCAGAGCTTTCTTTAGCACGTTGACCATGATTATCTATTGCAATAAATCTGATTTGGCTGCAGCTTCGGGTGTTCTAAAAAGATTGAAAAATGGAATTGACTTTTTATTTATTTTATTTTTTTTACAGACTTTTGTTTTTCTTCTATTCTGAAAATGATCTGAAAAATTTAACTGCAGGTTAGTTCAGCTATTTCAGGCAGAAATTAAACCCTCATCTGCAGAAATCTAGGGTACCTAGCCTGAATTTTGATCTGGTGTTTCATGAGCTTTTACTTCTTACACTATCTCTCAAATTCTTAATGTTCTTACAATATATTTTCAAGACTTTAGATACTTGGTGTTGTTTTCACAGGGAATGGGTTGTCTTTGGACAGAGAGCCATTACTTCATCAGCTAGGAACAGTATTCTTTTTGTTTCATTCCATCTCCAGGCTTTGTATTTCTGTTTGAAGATGTGAGAAATTTGCTATATGATCTTCTGACATATTCTCTGGTAGTTTTTTTGCCTATGCTTTTTCTTTCCATACGAAGTGCATAAATCTTTGATCACTAAAATACTTTAAAGGAACCATTCCTTAAAAAAAACTTACACAGATGCCCTGAGGGTGTCACCCCTACATGTTGTTTTAAGTGGTGATACAAGTACAAAAAGCCAAATTTAAAAAAAAAAATAGTTCTCCAAATTATCTGTGCTGGTTTTGAAAACAGAATTTCATCTGCCAAGGTTTTCAGGCCTGTTATCAAGGCATTGTGCATCATAACTGAATTTGAGGATGCATGCTCATTCCTCACATTGAATTCAGAGTTAGTAAATCAAATGCAGCCCTTTGCCAGAAGCAGTTCATGTTTTTAAGGTTCTTAGAACATGGAGAGTAACAAAATGGAAATGCACTGAGGTCATAGCCGGCTCAACTTTCTGGATCATCGTGTAAGCGTGTTCTTCATTAGGCCCCTGGATTGGGTTTTTTTGGGAGGGGAGGGGTGGAGGTATGCCAATAGGCTGCTAGAGGAGTGACTGGCTTTTCAGGGGTTCTTTGCTTTCTCCTTATTAAAAATCAATAGAAGTATTTTTTCTGACAGTGAAAGCTCTATGGCAAAAAACCCCAGTGAAATTCTTAAACTGTTGCTGAAGCAGTGAAGATGTGAAACAGTTTAGATTTTTTCTGCCTTTGGATTTTTCATTGTTTGTTGAAATTTTTGTGGCTTTAATAAGTCTAAGCTAAGCATGCTCTGTTTTGTTATGTCTTCAAACAAATGTACTGCTTTTTCTATTAGAAGTCTGGTTTGTCTTTATATATTGTAAGTTTGCTTCCTTCTTGCTGGGCTGAATTATCAGGCAAATCAAAAAAAGTCAGAATAAAAAGCTGTAGAGAGAGCTTGCTTCAAGAAAAATGGAAAAGGTCATAAACCAAGTAATGATTAAACAGTTATCCTGGCAACACCATAGTAGAAAACCTCAAATGTATTTCTGAAGCTAGGTAGCATTGAATTGGCTCATGTAAAAGATTCTACTTCCCCTGTCAAGGAGATGCAAAGGTTTTTTTGGAATAATGTTGAGTCTTCTGAAATGTTTTTTTTCAAGGAGGTAAAAGGTGTTATAGGAAGTCTGTTAAAACATACTGGATCTCTCTAATGAAACTCATGACCTGAACTCTTTTATTAATTTTAAATTTGGTTAAACAATGTATGACAGGAATAGTCATCTGCTCCAAATCTTTTTGCAGTCTTAGAACAGTAGTAGGAGTTTCTAATAAAATTGGTTTGTGAAGTTGCCCCCTCGCTTTGGAAAGGCACGTGTTAAAACAAGCATATTCCTTTACTAAAAAACTATGCTAATTTGGTAGTACACCGCACTGAGTTGAATAGGAATGACAGCTTCTAAGACAGCCTTTAATTTGGTATTCAAAACCCAAAATCGTAAACTTGGGTTTTGTTTGGTAGCTTCTCAGAACAGGCAGGATATACAGTAGCATTTTTTAAAGATGCTAATGACTTGAGAGAGATGGAAGTCAGGCATACATTTTAATTATGGGGGAGGGGTTGCAATAGCAAAAACGGTTTGGGGTTTTTTTTTTTCACTGCAGAGATTTTAAGGGAATGAGACAAGGAAAAACAGACTGAAGATAGTTGCCTTCATTTGGCAGGGGTGTTTAATAAAGGCAGAACTTGTGGTTGTAAAGTGTGCTTATTAAATTCTTCATTTACACTACCTAATTAATTCTAGCATTTTAAATTAACAGTGAAACTGGTCCCTGCTGTACCGTTTCATAGCTACAGCATATTTCGTCCAACAACCCAGTTGTTCAGGTTTAATCAGCTGCGCTCAAAAAATGAGAAGGAACTTGGGTTAAAAAAAAAACAGCTAAGTGGTATAAACATTTTAGAGCAGCATTAGATGAGAGAAGGTGACTTCAGGGAGGAAACCTTTGGCTTCAGATGGATGTGAGTGAGGCTCAGCACTAACCAGAGATGCTAAGCTAGAGTGTGTTGCAGATGCTCTTTATTTCTTATTTTGTCTGAAGAAAACCAGTTGCAAATATCTTCATCGCCAGAGGGAGAGGGCTTGAATTCATGAGAATTCTCAGAGAAGAAATACTGAACTTGTTTTGTCCTGTGTTTGCAAACAAAAGATCCAGTCAGTGTAGTGTCCGTCAGACACTGTAAGTGCTTCTGGCCCACTGAGTTGTCCTTGTTGACATAGTTTGTGTGTGGGAGAAGGGGATGTTTGTTATTAATTTTTTAATTCATTTGGTAGCTTTAACGATTCCTTTTTTTGTTTCTCTGTAACTTACCCAGGAGCTTACACCTTTGAATCTTCAGATGATTTGTATCCAAAAATCTTTGGCTTGCAGATCTTTTGCATTTTCAAATGATCCAGGAACACTGTAAAGCAGAATATTTATTGATACAAGAGTTCTGTGCATCCCTTAAGTCATGGCAGGGTTTGCCTAATTCTGCTGTGTGGTACAATTTGATGTTCTTTGTATGTATAATCAGGAACTTAGTTGTTCCTCTGCCCAGAATGTAACTCTGTTGGTTTTGGGTTGTTTTTTTTAATTGTTCCTTTTTGAATTTGCAATTCCTTTAAGATTATGTACAAAGACCAAAGGCTTTCACTTTAGTTTCAGTATTTTATATTTATGAACTGCAGTTTGGAAATAATCACGACATTGTAAATATAGTTTAAATATCAATGAGTAAAAAGGAGAGAAACAAATACTGACTGCTTTACCTGTAGTCTGCTCTAGAAGTTATGGATTGTTCACTCCTTGGATGTTCAAGCATAGAATCCAAGAACCAAAACCTAGTAAAAATGGCAAAATCAGAAATCATACAGCATTATGAGAGTACAGGAGGGTATTTTGCACATGAGAAGTGTGTGGTGCTCATTCATTTGTGGAAACCAGTAAATTGTTAACCTGGGAAGGCTGTTCTGCTCCTTCAACCCAGAAGTTTGTCCGCACTGAGTTAAGTTGATACCATGTTCCCTCTAGAAAAAAAAAATTCCAACTTTTTTGTAAAATGAGAAGCCCATACTGAAAAGGTGCTGCTGTAAAAAGCAAATATCTAGATTTTATTTAACCAAGTCTGTTCAGCAAGTGATGGGGAACTAGTGTGTTTCTATCTAGACCATGCTGTTCAGAGCTGCGTGTTTGCAGTTTGCTGAAATTTGGAGCTTAATTAAGTAGCCTTAATTTCAGCATCTGGATTTGGTGACTGCTTTGAAAGCAAGGGATGAAGAAGGTCTGTATCCTCATGAGCAGAAGCCATTAATTGCACACTGGTGATGCCCAGGGAGGCAGGAGAGAGGACTGGCAGGAATGGACATGTTCTCCAGGAGGGAAGCAATGGCAGGTGTGCAGTAGGAGGAAAACACCCCCTAAGCTTTCCCTGGTAAGCAGA